CAAGAGACACCATTGGGAGCATTATAAGGAAGTTTAAAACATATGGAACAGCTGCAAACCTGCCTGGCTGTGGAAGAAAGCCCAACATTTCATCAAGGGCCCTTAGCAACTTAGTCAGAACAACTGAAAGAAACCCCCATGTGACTGCAAGAAACCTACGGGATGACCTGATGGAGGTTGGTACAAGTGCTTCAGTGGCAACTATAAGATGTGCACTGAATAAACAAAGACTTCATGGCCAGACTCCAAGACACACTCCAGTCTTGACCACAAGAAACATCAAAAGTCGACTAGAATATGCCAGGAGGAATTTGGATAAGACTACAGAGTTTTGGGAGACAGTTCTATGGACTGATGAAACCAAACCTTTTTTCTTTCTGTCCTGGTTAGTCAGGGACCAGGGTAATTCACCGACCTTGCTGTAGACAGTTTTTATTGGAACTACTGTACATTTTCCCAAATAAATAGTTCCTATGGGAACTGATGACATTGTGGTTTGTAAAATATCCTATACATTTCCCTATTTTGACTTACTACACATCTATATAAAGCTACACAAATAATCAATCAATCAAAAACATTCACAAACTATGCTGCTTTGACAAGTTCCCATTGAGACAGCAAACAGGTCAAGTGGGAGAACGCTCAGGGCATTCACATGGAAAGGAGTGTGTGTGTGTGTGTGCGCGCAAAGCCTGACATGAAAGACCTGAAGATTATCAAAGAGATTTAAGAAAATAAATTGGCTTGACTCCTGTTGGAGGAAGTTGAAAGAAGGATTACTGGAGAAGAAAACAGATTGTTTAATGGCCATACTCTCTGACTCTGGCCCTTTAGCTCTTGGATCATTTCCTTGTGGGCACACTTACATCCAGTCCAAATGTGTCCAATCCTCCCCTCTCCCTCTTTAATTTATCCAAGTCTTTGTCATCCCAAGCAAGGGAGTGAGACTGCGGGAAGATGGCCCATTAAAGATAACCCTCGTCTCTCCCAGTGTGCCCAATCCGACTGCCTTTAGCCAGTACGGGATCAAAAATCCTCTTCCTTTTTCACTCAGTGTAACACAAAACAAGGTCCACCGAGCAAGGAAAACTAGGAATTAACCAGACCGTCCTAGAGAGTCCCTTGAACTGATTCTGAAGTATCTCCAACTATTCGCCCTGTCTTCACCCTCGTTTATTCTTTTCCTTGATCTCCACTTTCATGGTGGGCTGTTAAAAGGTTTAGGTAGAACATTTTATCCTGTAAAGAAATGAATAGAGTGGGAAGATTTTTTTCTTCTTGCTTTTGCAGTCAGGGTTTCATGTAAAAGCAAAAAGGATTACAGAAACTGACATTTTTTTGCTTTCAAAATGAGAGAACGTGTCCGTGGGCGTGTATGTTTGTGTAAGTGTGAAGTAATGGAACTTGTACCTTCCATTACTTGGCTTATCACTGTACTGAAGGACCTTGATTCATTTTATTTAATAGTAACTGCTTGAATGTTAAGATTTGCCTTTGTTGATTGTGATTTCTAACTACTTCTCCAAAAGGCTTATAAAAGCTCTGCTGATATTTCCTCTGCATTTACAAGATATGATTTGTGACCTCCCTTCTGGATTCCTGCTCTCTAAATGGATTCCCTGTTCGATAAGTTTTTCTCATCTCCCCTGGTCTTTCTTAGCAGCATTAGTCTAAAAGCACAAGGCCTCTAACTAAAAGGATCAACTATTTAGACTCTCTAAGGCATTAAAACCAAGACTTTGCTTTCTTTTAAAAAATTTTTTTTTAAATGTTTGTTGATTTAAAAACAAACAGTATAAAGTTTTCTCATATTCTCCTGCCCCATGAGTCCACAAAACTTGTTAATTATAAAGGGGAAAGTGAACATCATGTCTGAATAGAAAACATAACCAAAGACGTAGGTGCTTGAAGAAGAAATAGGCAAACTTATGAAAGACAGAGCTTACTTATAAAAGGAGTTAAATAAGAAAAGATCAGGATATAGAGCTAAATAGAGTGGATTTTCTATTTTTCTATAATATCAGAGGACCAGGCATGAGAACACTGTCTCGTGAGTCTTAGAAAGTCAGATCATTTGGCATCCATCCGTGCCATTAATAAGGAAAATTGTCTTTTTTTTAACCACTGCAAGCAACTATAGACCTCTGAGTCTCATGGTAATCTAGATTCATAATTTCCCTAACAGAGTTGAAAGATGCTCTTGATCTGATGCCTCAAAGCAAATCCCCCAGCCTTGATGGTATCCCTCCTGAACTGCTGTCAGCATTTTGGTATTGAATAGGCCCTACAGTTCTTAATTTAATCAACTTCTCCTTAGTCACTGGCTCTTTCCAGAGATAAAAAAAAAAAATCCACGAATCGTTATACTGCTTATAGACCCTAATCAATCTTCACCTCAGATTTTCAATCATTTGACAAAGTGCTAACAGAGAGGTTAGACAAGTGCATATCTCCTACAGTTAATCCGGATCAAGCAGGTTTTCCAGGCCATCAAGCTTTCAACTTCTACTACACATCATTGATTCTACTTCACCTGAGACACAAATTTAAGTTTTTTTCCTAAAATGCAGAAAAAGTCTTTCAGTGCTTACAGTGGGATTACGTTACCATATGCATGGTCAAAACTCATTCTTTCTCGCTTTATGCTGATGATGTATTATTATACTGATCTGAAATTGACATTTTCATTTCTAATACATTTTGGATCCTTGTCAAGTTACAAAATACATTTTCTCTACCTGCTCCACAATAAGAATTGAGGGGTTTTACCTACCTGGGGATTGATTTTAGGACAAATCTGTCAGTGATTGTAAAAGAAAACGTCTTATCAGTTCTTGGAAACATGGGGCTAGGGCTAGTGCTTTTAAAATGAATGCAGCTCCTCAAGTAAACTTTCTACTCTCCATTACCTCCCTCTGTATCAATATAAGATTTGGACCATTACTGTAGACACTTTTGTGGAGAGGAAAACATCCTTAGATCAGGCTTTCTGCTTTACAGCGGTCAAAACAAATTTGGTGGTTTATCCCTCCCTTGATCTTCTATTGGATATTCCCTGGTGGAGAACAGAGCGTTCATTCTGTGTACCCATTCATTTACACAACCTTTTATTTTCAGTATTTCACCCAAAGAAAAACAACTGTCCTGTGGGACCCATTATGTCTCAGACCATGTCTGGATGGTGGCACACTGAAAAACATGTATCACTCATAAATAAATTCAGGGCCATACCTGCTCTTTTGCAGTGGGCACATACTGTTTATGCATATGTTTTGGCATTGGTATGCTTTTTATACTCTGTGGATGTTTATCTTTGATTATTATTGCTTAGATAAGCACAATAATTATTGTGATTATTATTATCATTATTATCGTTGCTAAATTTTTTTGTTGAATTTTTTGTATGGTATTTCTTTGTAGTGGAGTTTCTGTGATCTAAACTCAATAAATAATTGTTCACAAAAAGAAAAATCTTTGCTTAAGTACATTTGATTTCTTTTCACAATGTGTCCAACAGATTTAATTAAATGTCAACCTTCAAAAGAGCCTTGCATAACAGTGTTTTTAAGGAAAATGGTAATAGCCTTGACAGAACACTAAACCTAACCTCAGTCCCACGGTAATATTGTGTGAAGTAGTAGCAATGAGAAATGTTTTACTTATACAAGATAGAATTTTACTGCATGTACAAGTTGCGCAGGACTGGAGCACATTACACATTGCATGCCTTTTACCTATGCATTTCAAGATGAGGTGCCCAGAGGAAGGCTGGAAGCAATTTAATGAGTTGCCATACATTACCATTGAAGCCAAACCTTTCACAGCTTGTAAGGGTTAATAAAAATACACGTTTCTCTGCCAGAGGCCAACTCTGCTCTAACACAAGTGAGCTCCCTCCAAGTGCTGAGATGTAGCAGATGAAGAACAAACTAGGCTTGCATGGAAGAAAATAGGCCATGCATGAATTATAAAACAATGGGCCCCTGGGCCTGGACATGTAAAAGGCCCCTCATCCCTTGGCCTATGCCCGCTTTCCCAGAGTGGAACAATTGCTGCTTCTCTTTTAAAACATTACCAAACACAGAACTGCCTCTTGTCCATTTGGAAGGAGTTCACTAAGTTTTTAGGGAACAACATGATGCCCAGTGTGATCTTTTGGCCTTATAGTTGATACTAGAGAATCTCATAGCAGACCCATCGCACTTTGGACATAATTTATTCAAATGTCTCCCATCTGACAGGTGCTAAAGAGTAGGGAGAAGTGAGCAGACCATTATCTGTATTTATTTCAATTCAACTAACTAAATTATCTGTATTTGTATCAGTACTCGGACCGGGTTGGAAGCCTTAACCGGACGTGGGAGGTGCTTAAGCTGTTAGCGGGCATGACTGACCGGAAGTCAGCCTGAAATTAGTTCACCCAAAGTTTCAGTTTATAGTTATATATGCATATTGACACATAATACTCTGAAGTGATAACTATAAAAGCATTGCATTTTTCCATGCAGCATCACACACCTGGCATTTCAACTGCTTTCAGTGCTTACTCTTCAAATGCTTTTTCAATCACTAATATCAACACTTAAATCAGTCATGATTTCTCAAACAGTTCCGGTATTAACCCTTAATCCTCTTTTTTGTTCTGTATAATGTTGTACATCTTCAGTCCACCACTACATACACATTAAACCACCTCTAAATGAAATGTATTATCCATACAATCTTATTCCAGCAGTTCTTACACTGACGGGTGACAAATTAAAGGAAAAACCTGACTGAATGAGTGGAGAAAATGATGTGAACCAGAGACCTATGGGAGAATGGAGAGGGTTCCAGAGATTAGGTTTGTGTTGGTTTTTCCTTTAAATTGTCATCCATCTGTGTGTACATACATTACAGATTTCTTCTCATTTTTCATAGTGTATTTCGGTATTTTGACTGCAGCTTCTCTCAGAGGCGTCCTATCATCCTACAAACATGACCAGAGACAAAAAGCATTTATTTTTCAGTCTTTATTACCAAAAATACAATGGCAAAGTAGTGACATAATAAAGCCCATGAAGTTCTAAAAATAAATAAACATAAAGCAAGCATCACACTCCTGAACCTCCATTACAAAATATGAGCAAAAATCAGGATAGACATGTTCTATCTTCTCCACCTCTTTGGGCTTAAATGCACACAGCTCATTTAGCTTAAAACCGTCAGTTTCCTCAAATATACTGGGAGTAAATAAGATCAGAGCCAAAATTATATCTAAAACTTTATTTTTTTTTGTCTAGATTGTTTTGTTTTTTTACAATATCATTAAAAAATAGATTTTATCTTTTAAAAAATGTCAGTTTTAAGGTTCTGCAGTCTTCATCTACAGTATGTACACACTTAAATTAAAAATACAGTACCAAGTGTTTGAGCTCATTACTAGGTAAAATAGCTAGTAATGTAAGAAAGGGCCGTTTCACATTCTTGCTTTGTTGTTGTTTCTCTGGCCTCAAAATTGCCGAATGAAACGGAAATGTGGATTTGCCTCTATGGAGAACATACCGAGGTGTTCACATAATACCCAACGTTATCTCAATAATAAAGATGCTTGCTTCCGCTATGTTTTGCCTGAATCAACATAAATCTTTTGCTAGAACATCTGGATACTTGACTGAAGATTTGGCAGAGAGGTAAAAGCTGTAGCTTCAACACAAATACCTTCAACCAAAAGGCACGATAAACTAAACCAAAAACAATTGTTTGCTTTCAAATATGGCACAAATGTATAGTTGTATAGTTGTTTGAACTGACTGAGGGAAATGTAACTGAACAAGGAAGATCCGTATACTCTGAAGGAGTTAAACAGACACTTGCAGTGCTGACACACTTTTGCAATTTGTGACACCAAATGGGATATATCACTGCCAGCAAAATCCCACTTGACCTATATGCTTTTACCACCAGGAGAATGACCCAGGATGCATTTCCCAGCTTGTTGGCTGAACTTTACAGTAATACCATCACAATTTGACTGAAAGTTGTAAGCGATTAAGCTAACCTTCTAAAAATGTCTTGAAATATTATCCCAAGCTACTATGTTGAAATCCCAAAATAGTTTGTTAGTTAGTTTGGATTGCTGTTCTCCAATGCATTCATTGCAGAAAGTTTTGAGTTAATTCGGTTACTCCCAATTAACACATACAGTACAGTCACCGAGTTCAATGAGTTTGGATGCTATTTTTTGTAGCTTTGTCCACCATTGCTACTGGTGATAATACTGTAATGATCCTATTAACAAGTACTGATTTTGCATCCAAAGCCTGAAGTGTTGCATTCCTCTGTGCCACAGGGCTCCACTGTCGCACTGTATGACAGGGCTCTACATTACCATGGACATAAAGACTGCAGTTTACTCTGAGACAATGATCAGTGTCAGTGTTTGAGGCCAACAGATTTTGTTTTAAAATGAGAACAACAAAATCATTCAACATTTATAAACAGGGGAACAAAAAATGGAAAAGTACATCATTTCCATTTTTTGTTTTGAGAATTAAACAATGAAAAAAAAACAAAAAAACAACTCGCCTTCTGTTTATTTGCTTTGCTAATAAAAGCGGAAAACCAAAATCGACCGTTTCTGTTGTATTAATGGTAGATTTTGGTTCTCATTTCAAAAGGAAAATCCTCTGACCGTCTTCTCAATTACACCGCCCTGCTGCTGGAAACAGTCACCAGTGCACCTGAAGTGTATTAACACAGGTATATTTACAGCTTGTTATATATATAGGCTATAACCTACAGTGCCAAACTGTTATTGGAAATGATTTAACCTTTTGTTTGTTTTGTTTTGCATTGAAAGTATACATTTACAACAGGTTTTTATACATTTTTGTTGGGCTTGGGCCTAGTGTCACAGACGGGTCAAGAGAGGCTGGGGAATATTTATGGATGGATTAATACGCTGCTGGTTTTGGACTTTTTATAGGATTTGGTGGCAATAATAATGTTGCAAGCCTCGTCATTTAATTGCCAAGCTCTAAGAACATAGATAAAGTAGGCTAAAAATGCGACGGCCTTATAGTACCGTTAGCATTTTGCGCAAGTGAGGCAGTGGAGTTCCACCATCATCAAACAGTAGCAAATTTTAAACCCTGCTTTGTTTACATCAGTGTTTAATAGCTTTTAAGAGCCTCCTTTGCTAGCACACTGCTGCATATCTCAGAACACTACCGCCACCTGTGGATCAGTGGAACAGTGTCAAGCCGTTGGCAGGATTGTGTATCACATGACCTGTGCACACGTGCGTCCTCGTGGACTCACTCATGGAGGTACAGCTCCAAAGCGCTACTAGGGGGTCAAAAACTCCACCGGGGGCCTTTAACCAGAATTAATTTTTGGAGCTGAATAATTACGAGCTGTCAGATTAATAGCAGATCCCCATATGACAGAGAGGAGAGTGCTGGGCTGACTGTGTGTGGTCGGTCCAGTCTTTAACTCTCACTGCTCATTAACACGGATGCCGCGTTAACCAGGCAGACGGGGAACTGAAGTCCCACTTTTATTTATTTTTTTTTTAACTCGGACATATAACCATCTAATTCTGCCACGTATAATTGTAAATTAAAAGCCAGACAATAATAACCTGCTTTGATAATGAGAAATCCAGCCCAGGTAACAGGTCTGAGATAGAGATTTCATTTTGTTTTATCCACCACGCTACGCACACGTGCAGACTGAATGAATTATGGATATTCCATTTTATCTTAATTTCCTCAGCCTCTGTGGATGTAAGAAAAGGGATGGCATACTGATGAACTAACGTGACAGTGTGTTCTGCATGGCAGGACTGCATGATACATTATTTGGGTTGAGGCTTTGACACTGAGTGTTTGGTTTAAGAGGATAATTTATTCTGCCTTATCTTCAATCTTTGTATAATTTTCTGTTCATTTCAATTTTGTGATGCTTCAAGAGCATCAAAAATCAACACAAACGCATCATTTTTTCTTTTACTTTGTATTCCGAATGAATGGCACAGTTTGAATTAAAGTGCGAGGCATATTTAGATTGTTCCCAACATGCATCTGGGTGACTAGATAAGTTAGATTTGTGCCAGTACTCCTTTCCCCTTTCGTTCGTTTTTCTGCACAGTCAGCATCATTTGAGACATTAGGGGTTCAATTTCTCTCTTTTCTGCATGAAAAATAACTTCCACACAGCAAGACAATCCATCACAGTAAACATGAAGCTTTTGTAGATCGAAGTTTGCGTTCATTACACTGTGCGGGGGATTTATACACATCAGAGCTGCAGTAATTATATTACACTCATGCCTTTAGTCACATGAGAGGACATGGGAGGACTACGCTAAGAAACCTCAAAAAACGCGTCGCCTTCCAAGCTTTATTTTTATGTCTTATTATTTCAGGCATGTTGTTTTTTAGCTGGGACAGCAGTCATTTAAAGTTGCATTTGACACTAGTCAAAAGAAGTTTTTAAAAACACTGACCAAAAAAAAAAAAAGAGTAAAGGTTAATATAAAAATGTTCTTATATACAACATAAATTGCATGGGATTTAAAAAAAACAAAAACATGACAACTCTTAAAGTGAGTCTAGCACCACAATCACAAGTGAAGTGAAGGTGTGATTCAATGCAGTATTCCTGCTTTCAAATATCTAGGCACCATTCAATTCAAATAAAAAGCCGAACCTATGCCAACTTCCCTTTTTATCATTCCTTTTGTCAACATGCCCAAAACCAATACCTCTCGCCGGCAGACAACAACCAAAATCAATCAAAGACTGATTTCCACTTTGCTCTGTTCAACTTCCCCTCCTTTGAGAACTATTACTTTCTCCTCTAAAGACTTTATGATTAATGATCCAACGAGTAAAATTACAGTCACTCATACAAACAAAAACAAAACAAATGCGCAAAAATAACAAACATTTGCCTTTTTAAACTGGCATAACGGAAACTAACATGCATAAAAGTAAACTGATAAATATTCAATCATATTCGAGCTGTGATACACGCCTTTAGGCATTCGTGAATTTGTGCATGTACCTCCTTAACAAAGCTAGATCCTCAATTGTGTCGGATTAAATACATTAAATATTACAGTAGCGATAAAAGAGCTGCCTCATGGTCAATATATGAATTAGACTGGAAAATATGCAAATCTTTTTTTTCCATTTCTGGTGAGGGATTGTGTGGTTTTGTGAGGTATGAACTTGTCCCTGTATCGTGAAAAAAAAAAATTCAGACTTGGGTTAGAGCTCGGACTTGTCCCTTGAAATCAAAATCACTCCCCTCCAGATACATTTTGTGTCTTTTAAATGTCAAATATTAACTATTTATAATATAGTTTTTTGTTTTTTTTTACATTTCTGCTGTGTCTGCGTTGGACAGCAGCCTCACAGTTGTACCCCTCTGACACCAAGCCGACCACAGAACATTCTGAACAATGACAATCAACTAGATGTGAAATGCTTACACCTTGATATCCTCGTCAATCGCCTTGAGGTTAACAAACACAATGAAATACTTCTGCGGGCAGCAGATCACTGTAAGAGCGCAGGGTCAGTGTTAACAGGAAGAGAGGGAGGGGCACGTCTCACTCTGCTGTTTGGAGGCCTGGTTGGGCTTCTGGCTGCTGCTGCTCCTTGTTAAGGATGATGCTGATGATGTCTCCCTCGTGCTCCTTCATGTGCTCCATCAGCCGCTCTTTACTGGTGGACTCGAAGCCGCAGATGCAGCAGCAGAACAAGAGCACGCAGTATTCCATGGCGGGACCCGGGACGGGGGGCTGGCCTGTGCGTGGCTGGCTCTGGTTCTGAGACTGGAGCTGTGCCGGGTCCCTCCCCTGGGGGCTCGTGGATTCACCGGGCCACTGTGAATGGTCCGTGGTGGATGTGGGGAGGGCCCCTGAGCTGTCTGCAGCCAGACCGGCTGCTGTTGTTGTTGTTGTTGTTGTTGTCGTCAATGTGGGTGTTGGCAGTGGTTCCACTGAGCCCTTTGCTTTGTCCTTTGAGGGCGGGGCCACCACGGGGCGCTCTGCCACCGACTCCAGCACCGCGGACAACTTCTGAGGAGCTCTGAGGGAAATAAACGGTGGAATTACCAACAGCAACAAGATGAGACGGAGTTATAAATCTCACTCTTGGGGCAGTGTTGGCCAATGAGGAATATATTTGAACTGCCTGTGTTCTATTTTAGTTTTTTACATCTGCTGGGCGACAGATGCCAATAATCATTATCCCTGTGATGAAGTGCATATTTGTAAGACAGCAGACAGTTATTGGAGTTATGTTGCACCTTTCAAAATATGAACTAAAGATTACAGTGAGGAATTAACACATGTTGAGGTTAAACTTTACGAAAATAAGAAATAAACCAGTGATAGCATAATCAACTAACCACATCCACGGCATGTGTTAAAACATCTCCGTGCCTTACCGCAATGTAGACCTTTGTATATGCAGTTCACATATGCTATTCAAAATTGTTGGACAATTTCAGTGGATTCCTTTTTGATTCATTGGCTAAATATTGTCCTTCTGCTCATCTCATTTGGGAATGTTGTGTGTGGGTCTTACAGGGTAGAAACATCTGGACACTAGGGGGAAACAAGACAACACCACTACAGAGTACATGTATGGATTTTTTCCTTCTCTTAGGAAGCCCTGCATAGTGTAGTCTGTCCTATTTTTATTGTATATGGTTATTAAAAGAGTGTACTCGCTGTGCTGTGGCGTGTGTGTGCTGTGTTGTCTAACTACTCGTTTTTAACTACTGTTAGCTAGATATAGGATTTTTTTTAGTGCTTGTTAGTGCCAGTGTAACAACATCTACCAATTTGTGTTCACTGAAAGGGTACATGAATAGAGTGCAATATTTAAAAACTTGTAATACTGACATAAAATACTTCATTTAAAGCTGTGGGCGACAAACAGCAGAAACAACATTAAGTGAACAGACTGCGCCTGTATTAAAGACCACCAGAGCCCTTGTTGTCAGACAGTACACATTACCCACCAGCTTGCTGCCAGTGGGTATACTGGAGATATTTGCAAATCCAGTAATGAAACCTGTACGAAACTCAGAGAACAGAAACCACTATAGTTGAGTTCATGTGTTTACCGGCTGCTCTGGGAGATGGCCTCGTTAATGGCTTTGTTAACTTGCTCATAGTTGTAGTTCTGGTCTCCGGCGTGCTTCCACATGTGGGATTTGAGTGATGGTGGATGACTGCACACATAGCCACACAGAGAGCACCTGGAAGAGAGGGGAGGATGGTAGAGAAACAAAAGGAGAGAGGATGAGCAGCTGAGTGAGAGCGGATCAAGTGGAGGTTGATTTAATATGCATACCGAGGTTGTACTAATCCTTCTCCTACTTTCTATCAAGAGGAATCATCCTGACTCAACACTCCACAGGGGACACTGAGCTTCAGAGACAGAGACACAGTAGAGAGAGACGAAATAGGATTTGCAGCACACCGGTGAAGTAGTTTGTCAAAATGAAAAGAATTATGGATTGTGTCTTTATTAACTATTCAAATGCTTGAAGTTGCAAATATCATTTAGGATGAAGAACTCAAGTACGCTTCTCCCATAAGAGCCGACTGTGAGAACACGTTCATCAGAAAACTAAAAGTGAAAGGAAAATCAAGTTCTCAACCAGCCAGTGCCGACATGCATATCTACAATATTGTACCAGGCTGCTGTGAGATGCTGCTACAAAGTTTTCCAAATGTGCACTCACATTCTGAGTACTACTCAGTGATACAGGCCTGGGTGCCAGACAGAGGGCCCTCCAACCATTTCCTAATCCACAAGGAAAATAAATGGAGTCACACTGGTTTATACCAATTAGTAAATGTTCAATAATGTCTCTTGGCTGTTACTTGGGAAGTTTCATATTAGCCTATCAGCGATCTCTGCAGTGCGCAGAAGTGCTGACACTTTATTTCTGCGATAAGTTCACAGAAACCTGACCTGCGTGGGGCTGCTGCAACTGGACTTGCCTCTTGGCAAAGATTAGTGAGAATGGCAAACATTGAAAGGTTGACAATGAAAACAACTGAATGGAAAATAGACTGATGCATTTGTCTCTACTTTAGCCAGATCATACAATCCTAAACCAGTGTTTATTTTGCTTTATGCATGGTTGCTAATATCAGGAACCATCACAAGTCAAAACATGCTAGCTTCAGTGCCCAGTGCCGCCTGGTAGAACAGCATGTCATCTTCTACCACATCAAAGATTCTAATGTTTATTCATTATATCTGATCATTATTATTAATGTTTGTTTATTAATTGGCCCCTGGCCTCCAGTCATTTTTCAAAGCAAGTCAAGTATCCCTGTTCTACAGACTTAGAAGCGGACTTGATCACACTGAGCAAAAACAAAAATCCCGGTGAGCCAGTGCCTTCTGCTGGAAGTCCAGAATTAGATGGTATTTTTATCTCCTAAAATGAAATTCTTAGTTTTCATCATTGTCAAAACTGGATTAGGGTGCAAGTCCAATTCTCTCTGCGTGTTTCCATCTTTCTCTGTATTACACAACATTTCCTTCCTCTAACAAAAAAATATTTGTGTCCTCTAGAGGTTTTTTTGCTTCATGCATAATGTCTCGAATGCTTGAAGAGTCAGAAATTTAAGTTAACAAAATAAAAGGACAACTAATCACCACAAAGAGGCAAAGGAAATCCACTGTCAGTGAATTCAGCCCATCTACATTTACCAAAGTAGTAATTCCATCAGCCAGCCTTTGGTGACCAACGTCAGTCCGACTGTCTGTGCCTCTGGTTCTAAAAACTATACAGCACATGGGTAAAAGGAATAATCTGAATTATATATTTGAAATTTCAGCAAATGTATTAAGTTGTCTTATTGCAACCTTTAAAGTGGAACGCCACCAGTGTTAAACATAATTAACTTGTCAGGGATACTCAGCCTTTGAAAACAGTTGTCCTTTTGTCAAGTCAGAAAATACGCTGTGATCACCCTAAAGACATCCTCAGGGTTATCACAGCTTGGCCAAGGAGACTACAGATTTCAAAAACAAAGTATGCATTATAAATAGAGTTTGAAAGGAGGAGGGGCTGATGAAGAGAAGCCATTAGCTGCAGTGTGGGAAGTGTGAGGGGTTTTAAACTGATATTGGATACTAATGATGCTTTCACACCTAACTTTTTTGATTTCAAATGAACACTGGTGTGTTCACCTGTGTGACTTCCTTCAAGCTGTCAACTGAGCTCTGCTGCGCACCAAGCAACCAGTTTTTGCAAGACCATTATGAATGCAGTTTCAGACCTATTTATTTTTATTTTTTAAGTTATTTTTTTGGCCTTTTATTGCCTTTATTGCTAGTGACAGCCGATTATAGTCATTAATCCAATACATTCTTAGGACGTGTCAAAATCGAATAGAAGACATTTCAAAGCCTAGAATTCAGATTATTGGATTGGACTTTAAGACCCCGCAGACACCCTGTTCTCAGGGAGCTCTTTTTGACATCAGAGGATACATAAACACATTGGGTTTAGTACAGTGCAGCATGGTGTCCATGTAGATTCGATGATGTAGGATGAGTCACCAAAACTGTGCAGTAAATGAGTTACCTGAACTTAGAAAGTAGAAGACCTATAAATCAGGATTTTTAAATGTCTCTCTCAAGTCACCCTACTTCATGAAAGTGCAGTGCTAAATAACTTGAATGCCCTTTTAACACAAGAACGGCATTGTCTGTCATTTCCACCTTATTTAAACATAGACATTGCAGCACTGCAGGTAATGATGTATTTAATACAGCACAAGCATTCAGTGAAGTGGAAATCAGCAATCAGTGCCTCGCTCAAGGTTGAGGATATTTAACATTTTAAGGAGGACAGAATATTCACCCTCATTCACTTTCTCCACCCACCAAACGCTGGCCTTGCAATCAGAAGCCCATTTCTCAAGTCCCCAGGCTGCTGGCGCCATGAGAGTGCACGTAATGCGGACAAACCGTTTCAGAGCCGCCTCTACCAAGATTACCCCTGCTTCTTTTGGCCCGGCACTGCTCTTTAGTCTCCCCTCGGAGGTGCAACGTACATTCTTATCATCCCTCTCTGTATGTGTGTTTGATGTTTCTCACCTGTACTGCTCCAGTAGCTGCATGGCCTGGTGCTCCTGAGGATGCCTCCTCATGTGGCTCTTTAAACTGTTCATGTTGGTGGTGGCAAAATCACAGCTACAGCACCTGGTGGACGGAGAAAGGAGAGCAGAGTGAACACAGAGATGGAGTGGCTACTTTACAAGCTGCCTTTTGAGGTCATTGTGTTGCTGCTTTACACTTGGAGCCAGAAGGGAGATAAGGGATTTACAGCAAAACAAGGAAGTTGTCACTTTCAAAAACATAATACATCACAATGTTTCTACATTGCTGCTTTTTATTTGCTTGGGGGCAAATACGTTCTTTATTTCCATTTGCATAACAATTACAATTCTTAGATCTCAGGCTACCTCCAACAGTGTTCAAACAAATATGTAAAATATGTTAATAATACATAAAGGAAAAAAAACACAAATGGAACAACATCTAATTAGAATGAAATAGTGCAGCAGCTAAATTATAGGAATATAATATCATATAAAACAAAACAAAAATACTGCGGTAGCCAGGTGAGTGATAGAAAAATACATAAGTAAAATATAAGTTAAATAATAAAACACAGAAGCTAAATTCAATTTATAGCCATTTGCATTAAAATAATATACAAAACAAAGAGTTGCACTTTATAATGTGAGGTTTACTGGGGCTGGGATACTAAAAAGATAGATCTGACCAACCGAAGACTAAACTTGTTTCAATAGAGGAATTGTTTAGATCCATTTTCATATTTAGACTAAGTGAAATTATCCATAACCTTTGGATCTCTGTTTTATCCTCATTACCCCTGTATAATTAGAGTTTTATGTATGTACAGCCCTCTTCCCTTGAATGTTGGGGTTAAACTTTTAGCTTCTACCATAACTCTTACTAAAACAGTTCTGCAATCATTAGGCTGATAGTTGCTAAGCTCAGTACTGCAACAGCACTTTGGAATACAAGTAGAGAAATTGCTACTATATCATAACAAATACTTTTATGCCTAATTATTGCACTGCCTGTGCTGGAAAATAAAGTGGCCTTGCCTGAAGGAATTTAAAGACATTTTAAGGCACTGCTTCCAGCTTTGGGCAGTTAGAGAGGGCAATAGCATGACATGGAAGCAGTAATATGACTGTTTGGAACACAGTGTGCATACTAATGTGCAGCAGAGAAGTAGATTATGGGACAGGAGTGGCTTTTCTGTGCGATTAGTTTTCTGAAACAGGCACATAAAAAATGACAACTATTCACTGACCACTAACTCTTCTACACAGGATACAAGAAGATTCATACAAGCAAGTGCATACCAACAGCCTGTGATAGTTTGTCACCTTCTCATTGTAAATGTGTATACATTAAGCAAATGCGTTACCTTTCCAACTGGGTCTTGTGAGAAAAAGATTCAAGATCTTTACCACCTGTGACTATTTTTAAAGTTGATCTCACACTGAAAAAAGCTGAGTGCCTGGCATCAGTACAGTCACACAGAACTAGAAGAAGAACTTTATTTGATTTCAGCGATGGAGAGGAATGAATACCAATGGAGCTTCAGTCCCTGTAAGATAATCCTGACAGGAATTTCTGCACTCTTAACCAATTACAGCACTGTTAATAACCGATGAAGGAAGGGTTAAATATCAGCATTAGTCCAGTCTGTGGTTGGCCTTCACCCCTATTGTTATGCTATCCAAATATGAGGAGCTAACAAAGAATCAGAATTACTAGAAAATGTTACCTATTGGGGCCTTTTACTCCAATTCCACTAATTATATATTGTAACTCCTAATAAACTACTGCACAGGTGTTTTAGCAGGGGACTGTGTGCTGCTCCACGGCTGCTGGTGTGCATTGGCACATTCTTTGTCACGTTGGCTCTGCACTACACAGTAACAATATAATTATCCCTCTGTGCTGCACTTAAAGCTCAAAGTCCTCAAAGTTTTTTTCCGAATTCAACGTGCTGGAGTGCAGAGTCAAAACAGAAAATGTGCTGTGGTCCACACTGTATTTCTGATTCAGATGTAAAGGTTTCTTTTAACATTATTAAGTTGGAAATGGATAGGTCTACATTACAGTATAAATGCATTCCAGCTAAAATACTCCTTGAAAATGAAATGTTAACATTTCATTTTCAAACATCATTTAAAGGAGTCCTCATGAAAGCACAAAAAAGAGAAGTAGTACAAGAAGGCACCAGAAGTAGGTAGACACAAAAGTGTTATATGCAGCATAAGTACATATCACTGAGTGTCTTTTTACTTGTTACGTGTTTACGTGGTTTATATAGAGGCATCAGTATTAAAATGTAGGCTGTTTTATAACAAGTAGTACATTTAAAAATATTTATATCTGGATCATCCAGTATTTCCCAACTCTATTTTTGCCCTCACACCATTTGCTAACAGGATGGTTGACCAGTCTTAGAAAGAGCAATTAGATGTCACCTGACCTTTTCCAGAGTCGAGAGAAACCTGTTCTGTGCGTATTTCTGTATATACATTTGGCTGCAGCACACCATTAAGAAAGCTGACGCAAACACCTGTATGTGTTCACACCTCTCGGCAGCTTTGTGTTAACACAAAGACCGACTGCTAATACAGAGCAGTGGAGAGAGACACAGCCAGGGTGCCGTGTGTGAAAGTGTGACTGTGCATACACTGTGAGATCACTGTGCTGGCCACAGCATTGCCGGGCATGTACTGCCATCTAATGCACCTTTCTAAAATGACAAGTACAGCTCATGCACATCTTAAAGTAAAGGCACTAGAATGGGAACTGGCACATAAAACAGCAAGGCTCATTGACTGAAACCTATTTGGTTAGTGCACTGTGCCTGAAACAGGAACTGAAAATGTAATATTTACTGACCACTTCCTGAACTCAAAAATAGTGGCAACAACATTTTTAGCACACATTTAATTTAAATTGTAGTTCTAATATGTAGACACAAATAAAAGATTACAGCCCTCTGAAACTGATAATGAGCTTATACCCCGTTATCCCTGATAAGAAATGAGCAATCCATCTCCAAAAGTGCAGAGAGTGGTGTCTACTTCATTAATGTGCTGTCATTATGGCTAAATGTCATATGTAATTTCTACAACTACCATTAACATATTCAAATAATAAAACACAATACGCCAGCAAAAACAAATTAAAGGAGCAACTGGACCGCATTTAAAAAGGTTGAAGTTGACATTTTGTTTGTCGTAAATAACAAAATCCCAAACTTTTAAAGCAGGAAGAACAGTGTGTATGTGCTGTCAGCTGAAACTATAGTCACGGCTGATTTGCCTGTCAAACAAATACTGTAATAAGAACAATATAACCCCACCAGGCTTAGAAAAACACTGCATTAGATCTACAGCACGAGAAGTTTGAGGACGTTGTTTATTGGTTAAGGATATTGCGAGAAAAATCATAAATATCACTGGTGATTTTTAGTCCTTGTTTGATGTTTCCTGTAACATCAAATGCTTTGCTCTACATATAGATATAGAGGCAATCAAGTTTCCAGCCGCAAATTCAAAATGCTAATAAACCCAAACCCTACACCATTTGCTCCAAGCTGTGTTGCGCCAAGTTGCTGCAAGAATCTAAGACCTTCAAAGGCCTTTAGTTTAATCAGTTCAGTCATTTCAAGACTTCATTCAGGAACTGTGGACACTTAATTACTGACAATCAGTCAGTGAGCGGCATTAGTGCTTGCACTGAGGTGACAGTGGTGAATTTCTGTTTTTAAACAACTCACCGATAAGGCTTGTCGGAGTTATGAATCCGCCGGTGGTTTCTCACTCCAACATATGTAGAGCTGGTGTAGTCGCAAACATCGCACTTATACATCTTCTGCATACCACATTCTGTAATTTAGGAAAACAGTTAAACAGCTAGTTATTTAAATATCCACACATCTTCCTAGCTGAACACATGATGAGCTCATAAATACACGTCTTACCTTCATCCGTTACCCGCTCGGCTTCCTCCACCATGGCCACGGTTTCAGTGACTGGTGTGAGGGCTGCCACATCACTGCTGAAGCTATGGTGCTCCCTTTCATGATTTCTTAACTGACTCTGAGTAAGGAAAATACACACATACCATGAGATATCTACACAAAGAAATGACAATAAATGTATTTGACGTTCAAAATGTTTTTTCAAATACTTTTTTCCAACTTTGGACCTGCTAGCAAAACAATGAACAGCCAAATCAGATGTTTTTCTACTTTGATTTAGATATAAAATACCTAAAAGGGGAAATATGAAACTATGCATTTGCAAAACAGTAGGTAGGCTGGGTATCCGCAAGAATCTGGCCATACGATGCGTATCAAAATACAGGGGTTACGAGTCAATATATTGCGATACTATAAGCAAGAAAATACGCATTAGTTTTTTTTTTTAAATCTAACCGTCAGAAAATAAAGACCACGTGGATAAAATCTGATTTAAAACCCGTGGGATCTGCATTTGTATTTATCACAGTCCACCCTTCACAATTACAAACTTCAGTAGCCTAACTCGCAAATCTGTTAGATGATATGATGAACTTGATGAATGATGAATAATCTCTGCTGCAGATCTGCGCTGGAGTCCCATGATAGCAGTGGAATCAATAGTTTTCTCCTGTATCATCAAACCCAGGCAACTTGTGACTGCAGCGCTGCACCAGGCCCTTCCAGCTCTCATCTCTTACTAAGAAGGTCTATCACATCACATCACACAGGTAATTTCACTCTCTTTGGGCTTTAACTCCGTTTGGCTTACTGAGAAACAAAAACAGATGCTGACAGGAGAGAAGACTCCTGTTTGTGATTGGGGGGCAAAGACAAAGACTTTACCAATATACTGTGCATGTAAAAAAAATAATAAAAAGGGGGAAGCTGGGAGCAAAGGGGATTTTAACTTGGAACAAACCTAAACAAATAACAGTTCATCAAATTAGTTAGGCAGTTTGTTTCCCTGTCCATCAACTACTCAACTCATTGACTAATTGCTCCTGCTCTAATATGTCATTTTATATTGTGGTATCAATGTGTATTACACAGTGGTACGAGTGAGCCTGAGGAATCAAAGTGGTGGACTGCCAGTGTTACACTGACAAACAGCTCAACATGGCCTGCACTTTTTATCATGATGAAGACTCCTGAGACTACACCAGCTACCTCAACGGACCTCAATGAACTCTGAAGATAATTAAAAATATTTATATAATATACTACTTAAATGGTCTGATAACTGGATATGAATAACAGGATTAAAATGCTCCATGTGAGCGCTGCCGTCTCCTCACCTTGTAGTGGAAGGCATCATGGCACAGCTTGCACTGGTACATCCTGGTCTTGCAGTGGTGGATCATATGGCTCTCCAGGTCCTTACTGTCTGAGGCAATGTGCTCACAGATGGGACACTGATACGGCTGCCTCTGCCTGTGCACCCGGAGGTGCTGTTTAATGTAGCCCTTATTGCCGCTGCTGTAGCGACACAGGCGGCACCGGTACGGCCTATCACTGCCGGGGATGTAGTCCACCAGACCGCCATCACGAGAGGTGACCAGCCCGTCCATTCCTGGGATGCTACACATGTAACTCCCGGCTCCGTTCCCTGTTACCACACCGGCCACGGCTCCGTTTTGGAACTGCGCGTTGTCCTGAAGTTCTTTTAAGATATCCTCATCTGAGGCATTCTGGTCCGAGCGCTCTCTGAGTCTTTCAATGACGGTGAGCAGTGACAGGCTGATGCCGGCTTTAGTGGCGGGACCCTCCTCGTCTCCTTCCCCCAGACCCAGGGACCCCAAATCTTCCTCTCTGCTCTTGCTGTGAAGCTCCAAGTCCAGAAGAGCTTCTGTTGTTTCTACCTCAGAAGCCTTCTGTTCAGCTGGGGTCACCTCTACGAGTTTCTGGCCCGTGTTTTGGCTCTGTGCTTGGGCTGTGATGCTCTTCAGACTTACCTTGGTGCTGGAGGTGGGGAGCTCGGGGGTCCTCATTGGCATAGCTACCAGTGCCTCAGCAGCCAGAGAGTGCAGGCGAAGAGACTCAGAATGTGTCCTCTTGCGACCAGCGGGGGGAATGTTTTCATCCCGCGGAGAGTCGCTACTTATAGTAACAGAGGATTTAATAGTAGCTCCTACTGGCTGGCTGTCAGTAGTGCTACCCGCACTGCAGCCAGGGACCACCTCATCCTTCACCGCTCCTGCATGGTCCTGCTCTTCCTCCTCTGCATCCAGTAAGCTCTTGTCCCTGTCCACGTCTGGGCTGAGGAGGAGTGGGTTAGTCGCCATGACTGAGTCCTCAGCTGAGGGAAGGCGTTCTACAATCACGTTAATATGGCCGGCGCTGTTGGGACTGCTGTTGATAATCTTCTGAGCTGATGACAGTAAGCTGTCTGCAACAGAGGTGCTATTGTGGTGACTCTCAATCTCCACCTCAGACTCTGCCTCTGTCGTCACGTGAACCTCCACCACGGGCTCCTCGGAGGTCAGGTCTTTGATAGGGTACACACTTTCCTCCTCTTCCTCTGCCGTTTTTGGACTTTCATTGAGACTAGACACCGGGTGAGTCAACACATCCCGTTTGTTTTCGACAGCCAACGGAGCAGCAAACAGCTGGAGCTTGAAGGCAGTGGGCAGCTTTTGGAGGCTTTTATCTTGAAGAACCGGGGAAAGAACGACCATTTCCTCCCGGGTTCCGGCAGAGTTGGCCGCAGTCTGTGCCTCTCTCCTTCCGGGAGCCCCGTCATCATCCTCGAAGATAGGGTAGGAGCAGTCAACCAGGCCGGCGTGCTTCCAGGCGTGGGTCTTAAGCATCCGCTGCTGGCTGCACACGTAGCTGCAGATCAGGCAGCGGTACAATCCATACTCCTCGTAGCTATACCACTTCTTCTTCTGTGGTAACTCCTTGGAACCGTCCACTGAGCTTTTGATCACTTCGTTTCCTACACTGCTCCCAGTCCAGTCCCCATCCTGCTTTCTTAAAACCTCATCTGTGTGCTCACTGGAGGTATCCGACACAGTGGGGTTCCTCTTCAGGTTGTCACCGTTGTCGAAGTGCAGCCTGACGTGTGCCTCCAGCTGCCCCTGGTCTCTGGAGGTAAAGCGACACTCGGAGCACATGAGGATGAGGTCGCTGTGCTGCTCATTGTGCTGCTTCAGGTGCTCTTTCAGCAGGGGCAGCGTTTGGGAGAGATAGGGGCACAGGCTGCACTGATAACAGGTCACCGTCCGCTTGTGGTCGCTGCTGTTGGGTTTGCTGGCTACCTCTGTTCCCGGGGAGGGGATGTTGTTGTTGTTACTGTCACCTGACACACGTGAAGAAAGAGCGGTGTCAGCCGCGCTGCTTTCTAATCTCACCTCCTGGACGCTCTCCTGCTCCTTACAGTTCCTCTTTATCTTCCTGTGTGGAGAGCCTCCTCTACTCCCCCTTGTCCCCTCTACACCTCCTCCCCCTTCCCCCGCAGAAGAGGCCTGTTGGATTGCTCTTTTCTGTCCCGCCAAGGTACAGCGGCGCTGGGGCCGCTTTTCCACGATTTTGCTGAGCTTCTCAATGACCTGGATGAGAGAATCTGCAGCTTGTCTCTGCTGAAAACTCTGGGACTCCTCTACTGCTTGCTGCGTTTGGGTTTGAGAGAGGGATCCCAGCGCTGACGGCGTAGAGGAGGAAGAGGAGGCAGTGGAGGAGTGTGTGATGAGTACAGCGACATTGCTGATCTCCTCCATGACCTGGCAGACAGCAGGGAACAAAGAAATTAGTGTGCACACTGGTTGGTGCTATACGGTGCACTCAACATAAACAGATTTGATCCCGTACTATATGGATAGAGATATTTTGAAATATCTTTCCTCCAGAATTGTATCTGACAGGGTTCCTGCGCTAGAGCATGTCAACAGTCATATCACACTCATATACAAACAATTGCAACTCTTAGTAGTCTATAGTAAATAAAGGCATGTTCAAATCATCAATCTTCTGTTCTAGCCAACCTGCTTAGCTAGAGCTTACTAATGACACCCACCACTACTAAGAGTACTCAGAGTAACACTATGAAATTATTGTCAATATAGATACACAGTATATCTGTCTACAGTTTCCCTATATTGTTTCTCCCACTTAATCAATTTACTAGAAAGCAGTGAAAAATGCCAGCCACACTTTGCCAGAGACTACAGTAACTTATTCAAATTGCTCATGTCAAAGTAATTCAATTTACAATTACATAAAACTGACAAACACTGCCTTCTTCATTTTGGATATTTGGCCTCTCTGGTTGATAAATAACTTTAACAATGATGCTTACCAAAACAGTTCTTAATTCACTGAATAGCCAATTCAGTACTAATAGTATTAGATATTATTGTCAATATGTAGCTCTAGAGTTAAAAGACTAACAAAGTTAGAATTCAAACCTTTAACACAAAACACTGTACACCTAGGTAATACATTATACAATAAGTTTATCAGGCCACCACAATAGTACTGTATCCCTGAATTTGAATCATTGTTGCATTTTAAAATAAACTGTATTACTGTGAATATATATATATATATATATATATATATATATATATAGGATTTCTAGAGCCTCATATATAAAAGAAAATAGGCTGATGATTGTGACTGTGAGTTCCTGTTCTGTAACTACCACAATTTACACTACTCTACACTGCAACATTTTGACAGTTAATTAACAGGGATGGAATTGGATCCATGTTTCCTTTTTTCCCCTCTCCATTACTGTCATACAGTTAAAATATATAGCAGTGGTGCTGAAGTAATTAGCACATATGCTGCCCCCGAGGTAAATAATAAAATAAATGTTAAAATAAGGACGTGTTGCATGTACAGTGAACTGTATGCTTAGTAAACTCAAACTCGAATATATCAGTCAGTATTCTGAGGACTGAGCATGTGATTTTTAGTTCTGCACAGCCTTCTGTGTTAAAAGGCAAGTCAGTCTGACTCATTGAGAGTTTAGCACAGTGACACGGGGCGAAAGCAACTGAAAGACCTCCCTCGATAAAGCATAAAATCTGGTGAGGAAAAAAATATGTAATTTATTTTCACCAAAGAGAAATAAACAACTGACCGTACATACACTTTGTACAGCAGCATGTACTAAGGGCTGTGTGAGGGGATTGCCTGTTTAGAAGAAAGGGGAAGTGGCCCAAAGACCACCATGATAAGTGTGATAGCCTAACTCATTCATGATAAGCCCTGCCACTGCTGCTCAATAGACAGGAATTCAAACACGTGCACCATGTGCATCTGTTTACAAACCAAGCTGGAGGGAAATGGTCCCAAATCATGTGGTTAAATTCCTTTCATCTGTGCAAACCCAACCCTTTCCTCTTTTTCACTTTCCAACCACAACTCACCTTCCTCTTTCTCCCACTTCTGCATCTGTATGACTAATATCAAAAGAGAAGGATACACATTTGGAGAAGGGTTACCACATGCATTAATTCTGAACTGTGAGGGGTGGAGATACACTTTACCTTGTGTTATTAGCACTGGATCTAAAAGAAATCCACTCAACAATAATGGACTTTTAGTAGAAATGCCTTACCCAAACAATACAAATCTGCCAAACAACTTAAAGTGTGTCACTCGCAAAGCTAAAGGTTGGGCCTCCTGTGGTACAGCTAGGAGGCTGAATGTGACTGCAGCCAGTGAAGCCTCTCTGTAGACGCCATCATGTGCTTCAGCCCAGTCTCAGATGAGCACCTACTATGTCAGGGTCTAAAAATATTTCCTCCACTTCCCCCCCCCCCCTGTAGAATGAAGTTGGGCACAGCCTCCCAACTCACACTGAAACATCGAATGAGCACTGGGCCACATTCACTGGCTAACGTTAGCTGCTAGAAGTGGAGCTGCTGCGGCGCTGAAGAGAGTTTCATACGGAGAGAGACACACACACACACACACACACACACACACACACCTGCTAGCTTAAGAGTTAGCCTCACAGCCTGCTGCCTGCTGTTCCAACCCACAGACAGACAGACAGACAAGACAGACAGACACACGAGTCTCACACAGTGCTAGCAGTTACACACATGAATGTAACGTTACAAGGGCATTTTAATTATCTTTCCGGTTAATGAGTGACGGAGGAGCGCGTGGCTGTATTTAAATGAGAGCATACTCACTGACACTGAACGGCTCGACGCTCTTTGTCCTCAACACATAAAACTGCTCTTTTTTTTATTCGTTAGCCATAAAAAAGTGGCCTCCCTCTCTCCCACATTGCAAAATGGCGAGGATGGAATATCAGTCACGTGACTTCGAGTTTAGGTCAGGTGACCAACGGGGAGCGGTGACTGACAGGTTGTCTGGTGCTGCGTTCAAATACTGCTCGTAAAACAACACGTCCCATTTCCGGACGGCTGTCCGCGCTTTCAAGGGTTTGAGGGACATTGTATGAATAAAGTGAGCAGTTATCATCATTGCAAAGACAAACTAAGGATGCTAAAAGATGTATAATAGACACTGCAGCCACAATTTGCCCGCCATACTTACATACTATCTGGCAAGTAATACAGAGGGCAGACTGCACAGACTCCACTTCTTTTCTTGAAAAGAAAAAGGAAAATTATGCCCTAGACTGTTATAAATTCACTACATTTTTATTAAGTAATTCTGACTCTCACTAGTATAGCAAGTATTTCTCAAGACTGTTTTATCTTGACAAAAATGGGCTACATACTGCTGTTAAACATGATTGAAATTTGGCATGCAAAAATGTGTTATATTTAAAAAGGCATCATCCTGGTGTGGCTGCACTGTCATGCACTTACAAGTAGGTAGGTACAAACATGTAAGCTCAGAAGGAATTAAATTATTACCGTATCATCTCTCCAGTTTTTCTGCACACTTGCCTGTCTCGCTCTACTGTTGTGCCCTATTTTAGGCTATTTCAGACACCTCTATTTAAACCAGTGGTTCCCCACCAGGGGTCAGGACCCCCGCTATGGGTCAGCAAAGCCTCAGAGGCCTTCTTGATTTTAAGGGGTGTGAGAAAACTTAAAAATATAGGCCTATGGACGCCCAGTTAGCTCAGTGGGTAGAGCTGGCATCCCACGTACCGAGGCTCAGTCCTTGCTGCAGCGGCCCAGGGCTCGAATCCAACCCACAGCCCTCTGCTGCATGTCATCCCCACTCTCTCTGTCCCCCCCCCCTCCTGTCTGCCTTCAGCTGTCACTATAATAAAGGCAACCCCCCCCCCAAAAAAAATATACTTTAAAAAAAACCCAAAAAACATATATATATATATATATATATATATATATATATATATATATATATATATATAGGCCTATATCTCAGCATGGAGTTAAAGTTTAGATTATTATTTAAGGTCTAAACTTTGAACACCTCGTCCTGCATTAGAAAAGTTTAGTTAAAAGAACCAAAGAGCTAATAGAACAATGGCTAAGCATCAGGGAAAGAAAACACTGAATTTGTCAAAAGGAAGCCTATTAAATACCCATCACTGTTAAAAAAATTAAAGGTATATATACAAAATGGTAAAAGGAAGTTGTATATATTGTATATAGTAGGCTATAGTAGAATTATAGGAAAAGTTGCTAAAATATCAGGAAAACTTGATGCAACATTAACAGGAAATAATCTGCTCAGAGTTCATTGTACAGTTTATCAGTTGTTCTATATGTGTTGAATATAATATGAAATATCCATAATGTCACTTAGTCAGGGGTCATCACTTTACTCAGTAATAGAAAAAAGGCTGGGAACCTTTGATTTAAACCCAAAGTCACACAAAAGAGCTGTCTAAGGTCCAAGTGTTCCTCTGGTCAGCTCATTGCTACTGTGCTGTGATCTAGGGACAAAAAGGAAGCTTAAACATAACATAAAACTTAACCTATCCTGTTTGTGGTAAATATGCTTCCTTTAATTTTTTGCTCTTTATTTTTGTTTTCCCCTTATAAACTGTGCAGGCTAGCCCACTGCTACCTTGGTTTGATACATTTTAACATTTTATCTACGCCAAACCTAAATCATATAAACCTGAGCTCCCACCACACAGAGTGTGGTCCACCCACTTCACGCAGACACATTTCAGTGGAGGCATGCGATTTTTTCTACAGCTGAGCACTATCATCTAGTGGTTAGTTTGTGTTTGTGCACCACAACTCACATTGGGAAATTCTACAGCACGCTGTAGGCCTTGTTGTAAAATACAGGCAAACCAATTATTTCATAAGAAAACCCATTAATATCAGTGGTGGAGGTTAGTTACACTGGCTGTTTTTCTTACCAAATTTTGTTTTGTAGATTTGATCCAGCTAGAACATGAACATAAGAAAACTGTCTATACTCGCAAAGGAATCTAACGCTGGTCCGATTCCACAGTAGACTCAGGAATATTTCATACAAAATCAGAATTAACTTACTGTACATCTGATTAAAATTTCATGTAATCTACCAAAAATGGGAAAATACGCAACTAATGGAAAATGAAATGTCAACGAAGGACACAAAGGCTACAAACACATTATCTACAATCCACGATGACCAAATTCATTACTGCAAATGGCATGATCAAGTTTCTGAGGCTGTATGATGCTGAATGTTGACATTCCAGAAATGAAAAAGGAAAGTTGATAAAGGAAAAATATCTTCTATCTAAAATAATAGTTGCATTTTGCATGAAATAGTCTTCATCTTAAATTGCCAGAGGAATACTCCATCACAAAAACCAAGTTTTTTTGTTATCTGTATAGCTACGTGTGATTCTAAGACATTTTTACTACAACTACAATTTACTAGAACTCCAATTAGTTCTTTTCTCCAACCCTTCATCTTATTAAACTGACAATGACAAATGTGAGAGAAGAACGTGCACTGGGAAGCAAAGCGATTTTGGAATGGTTTTTGAAGGACATTATTGTGTGTAAAAGGAGGCAAGGACATGTTCTCATTTAAAGCTGCAGCAGTAAACTTAAAATGTCTCATGTACTACTGTCAGGATATATAGTGAAAGTTTCAGCAAACTTTGACACAAGTTCTTTTAAAGTTACCTACTGCAGCTTTAACTATGATCATTAACCATGGTCTTGTTCACTTTAGCCATGATATAATGAATGGTCAGTGCTTCTGTAAGGCACACAGAAAGAAATCAACAAGACAACATGTTGGGACTGAAAGGCAGAGGGGTAGAGGAGTCTATTAAGAAATCAGTGATGGTGTTATTTGTTGCACAGGTATGTGGGAAGGTAACCACTAAAATGCACTATTTACAGGAAAGAGATAAGGCTTGAAGAAATATCCCAGTAAATACCCCAAAACCATTTTTCCTGAAAACAATGTTACAAGAATACTGATCTCTTGGAGGGCTCATGCATTTTTGATTTTGATTGATTTAAAAAAAAAAGAAAATAATAATTTACTTATGTATCAGGTTAATTCCCTGTAGTGTAATTATTGTAGATGTTCCTTAACTAAAAGGTCCAGTGTGTAACATTGAGGAGGATCTATTGTCAGATATGTAATATAATATTCATAGGTACGTTTTCATTAGTGTATAATCATCTGAATATAGGAATGGAGTGTTTTTGTTACCGTAGCTTTTTATATCTACAGACGCCACGGGTCAGCTTCTATGGAGTCCGACATGTTGAACCGACATGTTTCAAAACATACAAACCAACAAACCAAATACTGGCTCTAGATAGGGCCTTTTGCATTTTTAACAAATTATGAATTTGAAAAGGGGAAATACTACAGACATAGCACTATATCTGTAGTATTGGGAAGAAATATGAGCTGAGAAATCAGACTACAACTCAAAGGAATCATAATACATCTCACCTCAAATGTGAACATGTAACACTACGACAACCAAACAAAGACATTGTTGAAACAGTTTCTGAAGAGTAGAGAAATGTTACCGTGCAAAACACTGAAATAATTGAGAGAAATACACTAAACAGCACAAATTCACTGTGAGTGCATGTTCAAAGAGAGACAGAGGAGATTTTGGAAAGGATTTTCAAATTCCATGCTCCATATTTCTGTCATAACTTTCTTTTACATGACAATACACTTTCAACCATTTACAGCTTCATTTACCTTTCAAACACCAGATTCAAAGTACGAGTGTATGAGGATATCTGTTAGCATCATCACCATCAAATGGTCATTACCTTTATGGGTTCATATAGAGTCAATGATCATGATCTAAATCCCATAGCACAAAGAAGAAATATCCAAAGAATGCCTTGAAAAACCTAAAGGTCAAGTGTGTAACATTAACAGAATATAATATCCATAGGTATTCATTAGTGTATAAGGACCAAAAAATGTGAATTGTTGTGTTTTTGTTACCTTAGAATGAGCCGTTTTTATTACAGAGGGAGTAGGTCCTCTTATACTGAGGCCACCATTTTGACTGCCATGTTTCTACAGTAGCCCAGAACAGACAAACCAAACACTGGCTGTAGATAGGGCCTTTGCTGTTTTGTTGTGAGTTTTTCTGCCACTGTAGTTCTGTAGTAGTTCTCTCTCCTATAAACTTGGAACATGGTTGCAGTCTGCAGCTTCACCACTAGATGCCACTAAATCATACACATACAGGAAGACCACAAAAATGTAAGTTTTTCTAAATGAAGAACTGATTTGTATTTATTTTGGTAGATGATTTTGTCTTATAATGATCACCAACCACAGACCGGAAAACATGAACACTATTCAGAGGGTGTCTGTTTCTGAAATTGTAGATTCCAGAAATAAAAATTGAAAGGTGGAATCATGATATGAGATATCCTATCTTTTAAATAAAAAATAATCGCTTACATTTTTCATAAGCCAGACTACCAGTCTGTAAGATTAAATTATGTTCTCACAGACTTTCTTGAAATCAAACTGAGGTAACAAAAAAAGGTTCAGTGATGTTTTTAGCTGGTATGTCAAATCTTTGCTGCCCACTGCACAGAGAGCTGAGAAACTCAAAGCTCATAATTTGTGAATTTTGATTGTATTTGCACCAAACAATGCAGCTATGCAGAATGATGTTAGAGAGAGACATTAAACATAAAACCTCTAAATAACATTCTAGTTCTTTTTTTTAACTGATTGCCTGTGTTTACATATATGTTTGATGAGTATATTAGATACATCTTTTTACTTTAATGATAAGTGGCACACACACACACACACACACACACACACACACACACACACACACACACACACACACACACACACACACACACACACACACAAACACACGCATACAGACAAAGTAATTCAGGCCCAAT